CCCCCCCGAAGTGATGCCTGGAAGAAACTCTGGTCTTGACATCCGCGGAAACCCTGAGACTGAATTACTAAAAAACCTCTCGGGTTCGATGGAGCCCACTGTTCTAAGCTCTTTTGATTTTCTACTTTTTTTATTCGTTTCGGCATCTTAAGGGGAATTTAATTAGCGTCCAGTGAAGTTTTAGGGAACGACAATCAGCGTAATTGTTAATTTTTTTCCAGACTGTCGCACACACAAACACACACGCATATATATATATATATATATATATATATATATATATATATATATATATATATATATATATATATATATATATATATATATATATATATATATATGGGGGCGCCAAAATGAAAGTTCGCCCCGGGCGCCGGGAGGGGTCGCTACGCCTCTGGATTACATATATATATATATATATATATATATATATATATATATATATATATATATATATATATATATATATATATATATATATATATACATTTTCTTGTTTATTCCCGCTCACCATAATGTGCCCACATTAAGCGCTGTGTATTTATCCACGCCGATAAATCTGCTATTAAATGTTTAACTTTAGAAACCGGACAAATTGTCTACAGCCTGCTTAACCGGCCTCAATCAACTCAGGTGGATTTAATTCCAGTTGAATCACGTGATTAAAGGGACCAAGTTGATTGGTGGATGCTGGTTCTCTCATCAAGGGGGTCTAATTCTGTTAAATCTGGTCGCGGGCTAATGAGAATCTAATTAGTCCGCGTTCATTCATTAGTTGGCCCGGACCCTCGTCCGCCAAGATGGCGGCCGTCTGATGGCGACTGACGATTGACGTCCAGAACGAGGCTGTGTTGTCACGTGATTGTGTGAAGACTAGGTAGACGATTGGTTGATTTGTTAGCACACAACGATAGATAGGCATACAGACAGACAGGCGATAGACGGAAGATAGGCGGACATCAGGCGAACGACTTTCAAATGATAGACAGACAGACGACAGACGAATAAGAAAAAGGTGGACAAAAGACTGTCCTATTAACGTCAGAAGGTACGGAGTGGCCTAGTGGTAGAGAGCTGGACTGCTAACCCGTAAGTCTCGAGTTCGAATCCGGCTTCAACTCTGTAGACCGTATCTGAGTCCCCCAGCTCTGGTGGGTACCTTACTCAAGTGATGATAGTGCTGTTCACACTATTATATGCCGAGGTCACAAAAAAAGTAAACTCTAACGTCAGACTAATAATGGACCAGCAAACAACAGACGAGCTAAATACAGACAGAAAATAGATAGACCAGGAGCAAACAGGAGACAAATGACTGAGTGATGACAGACTGGCAGAAGGAAGACAGACTAATGGTAGACAGAAAACTGACATATGATAGACAGACGACAAAAATCAGAGAACAGACAGAAAACAGACACAGACACATGAGAAACAGTTAACATACACCGACAAATGAAAAAGACAGACACAGACAATTGACAGACTAACACAGACAAATGACAGACGGACGGAATACCGAACGACAGAAAGATGACGGACGGAAGACAGACAGACCTATTAATAAATGTGTGTATTGATCTATTGTAGGCTGAGAAAGGATCCAGCTTCATTATGGGCGTCAGGACCGGAAACTGTCTCAGAGTTCCGCTGTTTCTTCATTAGAACTTCGTCACAATAGACAGAGGCTTTTAAAAATACATTTAATAAAAAATATTTTAAAAAAAAAACGTCAATGTGATGTGATTGAGATCTATAGGATTCGGTAGTGATCTAACTTCAATTATTTTCTTAATTTTTTTTCTCTCTTATCGATTTTTTTGTATTTCATGTAATCTGTTTTTTATGTAACCACGTTGGCATAAAGACGTTTACATTAGAAAACAAAATACTTTTTTTTTTTCTATCTAAAGATAAACAGTGTAAAGAGAAAATAACAGTCTTTAAAATATAAAGCTGTATAGTGTACGTAAAAAATATATTTTGAGATATGGAAAGCGAATCAAGATGGGAAAACGAGCAAAAATCTGACCGGAAGTGTGCACTGCTGGAGCTGCACTGGCTGATCACGCATGCGTAGTGATCAAATTAACGTTTAGCGTTTCACAGGTCTCCCAGCTAAAAATAGATTTTTTGCAGCAGATTATTAAAAGAACATGATATGTTTTTTTTTAAAGGTCGTGAAGATATCTGGTTTGAAATGTTGAGTGTGGACGGAGGGTGTGTGTGTGGGAGGGGGTGGGAGATTATATATGAATTGGGCACCAGCATTTAGCAATATTTTTATATCATAAAAAAACGGATCCACAAAACTTTTCAAAATATTTAATTTTTCTCACTACTCTTGGTAACAGGGCATTTCTATAGCTTTATGTTGATTGTATCTCAATTATCAATGTCTTAAAACCACAATTTTAACGCTCTTAAAATACTTTTGAAACACACATACGCACACGCCCACAACCAAACACACACACACGTTTATATATATATATATATATATATATATATATATATATATATATATATATATATATATATATATATATATAGGTTCGATGGAACAAATTTTGACCCCATGGACTAAATCCTGCCTACGCCACTGAATTGACATACCCATCATATTCCTCCTTGAGATTTGAATTGTAGACATTGAAAGAACAACCCCTTATATTCACAATCTTCACCTTGAAATGTCCAAGTTTTAAAGAAAACAAAAATATCTTCCGTGTTTCGATTTTTTTTGGGGATGGCTCAATGCAAAGAAGAAAAAAAACCGCCAAACCGGCCTTTGAAGTTTTAGTATTGGTCGATGGCAGAAAGTGCTGGCATTACGGATGCTATTAAGGATTGATGTCGTCACCTCTCTCCTGTCTAGGGGGCGGGGGAAAAGACACGGTTTGAAAATTTTGTTAAAAAGTTTAAAATCGATTCTGGTGATCGATCTGAAGATGAAATAATTAGAGGGGGTGGGGGGGGGGGGTGATTGGTGAGAATGGGGTCAAGATGGCTGCCAAATTTCGTTGGCACGTGGTAAGTAGGTCATTAGATGATTGGATGCTAACGGATAGGTAATGACCAGACACGGGAGGGTCTCGTCCGCTTTTGTGTACGGGGTGGGTGGGGAGGGGGAAAGGGGGGGGGGGGTCTCGTCTGCTTTTGTGTACGGGGGTGGGTGGGGAGGGGGAAAGGGGGGGGGAGAGACTGTCTGGCCGTAAGACGATGTCAATTTTCGGTACTTTGTCGTTTTTTTTCGGTGATGGGACAATGTCGTTTTTTTTCGGTGATGGTACAATGTCGGTTTTTTTTCGGTGATGGTACAATGTCGTTTTTTTTCGGTGATGGGACAATGTCGTTTTTTTTTCGGTGATGGTACAATGTCGTTTTTTTTCGGTGATGGTACAATGTCGTTGTTTTTTCCGGTGATGTACAATGTCTTATAACGGTGCTTGGACAATGTCGTTTTTTGATGCTAGAACACTGTCGTTTTCGGTTTTTGTACAATGTCGTTTTTTTCGGCGCCGGGGCTATATCGTTTTTCTATTCTAAAAAAAATTTCATTTTTTTATGCTAGAAAAATCTTTTACGTGAGTTCTGAGCTATATTCACCGATTATCGGATTTTGTTGGAATAGGATGTGCTGACTAAGGATGTCAGCAATAGACCGTATTTGTTGCACTGTGCTAGACATGCGTAAGCCATACACGTCTTAAGATACCCATAGTGTTCATCCGTCTTGAGCTAGCTCGAATCCAGTTCTAGGTCCCAGCGATTTGAATAGAATTATCACGGCAAATGGTCAGGCTGGAAAATTAAACAAGTATAAAAAAAAAATTACAATAACGATTGGGAAAAAAAATCATCGAGACCGTCGGTTATCTCCCCTTGTGCTACTGAAAAGCCCATAGTAATCTTTACATTAATTTTTAATTAATAGTTTATTTCAAATTAGGGTGAAACTTAAATATATTAACTATTTTTTTCTGGCAGGTTTGAAAACAAAACCGCTACTCTACACAGACACAGACCCATACACCCACCACACAGACACAACACCCACACAGAAAAACCACACACACACATCACCCACACACATACCACCCACCACACAGACACCCACACTCAACCAGACCCCCCACACACATACTCACACACACAGACATCTACCCACACACAGAGCCCACCCACACAAACGCCCACATACACAGACACCCACACACACAACCAGACACCCCCACACACAGACACCTACCCACACACAGAACCCACCCACAAAGACGCCCACCCACAAACATTTGACCTAAGTAAAAACAAATTTTACACCTCACAGAATATATCACCAGAATGTACAGGTGACTTTGTAGTTCTGTACTGCCTCCCTTTAATTTATTTGTTATTCTAATGGACGAGTCCAGCCCAACTTTTTTTCTCTCTTCTAGAACACACTCCCATTGTCGACTCATTTTCCCCATTAGTCTAAGTAGCCATTACATCCACATTACCCTACCTGTTACTTGTTAAAATAATTACCCACATTGGGCGTTACCGTGAATTAACGTCAAGAATAAAAATTGTCTTATAATTAACTTGCAACGATCGTTGAAAGGACGTGTCAATATTTTCCCCCTTGTAGGCATGTCCCTGTATCGGACAAATATATCCGGACGTTAATTGTCCGTTTGTTGATTGATATAGAGAGGGGCCAGGTTCCGACAAATTTTCCTTTCATGCGCGCCGGTTAATTTGAATGATTGGATTCAATGATGCGTGACCGAGTGAGTAAATTACAGCTCACCACGCGCGGGCATGTTTTCTCTTCGATATCCCCCTCCCACCCCACAGCACCGGCTGATCCCCGGGCTGTCTTCTCACGCGTAAAATTGGCGGGATACATCTGCTAGTGGGGAGGGGGGGGGGATAGTGGTTTGGGGGATTCGGTACGTATGTAGCTGATTGGTGCTGTACTTAAGAAAAGAAATGTCGATTTTTTTGTCTGGTACCTAAGACTATAGTCAGCTCTATTGTTGGGGGCTGGGACACACGTCCTATAGTCAGCTCTATTGTTGGGGGCTGGGACACACGTTCTAAGACTATAGTTAGCTCTATTGTTGGGGGCTGAGACACACGTCCTAAGGTCAGCTCTATTGTTGGGGGCTGGGACACACGTCCTAAGGTTAGCTCTATTGTTGGGGGCTGGGACACACGTCCTAAGGTCAGCTCTATTGTTGGGGGCTGGGACACACGTCCTAAGGTCAGCTCTATTGTTGGGGGCTGGGACACACGTCCTAAGGCTATAGTTAGCTCTATTGTTGGGGGCTGGGACACACGTCCTAAGGTCAGCTCTATTGTTGGGGGCTGGGACACACGTCCTAAGGTCAGCTCTATTGTTGGGAGCTGGGACACACGTCCTAAGGCTATAGTTAGCTCTATTGTTGGGGGCTGGGACACACGTCCTAAGGCTATAGTTAGCTCTATTGTTGGGGGCTGGGACACACGTCCTAAGACTATAGTCAGCTCTATTGTTGGGGGCTGGGACACACGTCCTAAGGCTATAGTTAGCTCTATTGTTGGGGGCTGGGACACACGTCCTAAGGCTATAGTCAGCTCTATTGTTGGGGGCTGGGACACACGTCCTAAGGTCAGCTCTATTGTTGGAGGCTGAGACACACGTCCTAAGACTATAGTCAGCTCTATTGTTGGGGGCTGGGACACACGTCCTAAGGCTATAGTCAGCTCTATTGTTGGAGGCTGAGACACACGTCCTAAGACTATAGTCAGCTCTATTGTTGGGGGCTGGGACACACGTCCTAAGTTCAGCTCTATTGTGGGGGCTGGGACACACGTCCTAAGGCTATAGTCAGCTCTATTGTTGGGGGCTGGGACACACGTCCTTAGACTGTACGTTGATTTTTTTACCTTTGGGTTGTGACCTCAGAGTATAGCATATTTTGCTAGTTGGCGGTTGGAACTTAAAACCGAAGACTATAGCTTTAATCTTCAGTTGAGGTCTAGGACCTAAGATTTGCGCTTAATCTTTTACTTGAGGAATACGATCTTAGATCTGAGCTTAATCCTTTGGTTGAGGTCTAAGACCTAAGTCGTTAGCTTAATCTTTAGTTGAGGTCTGGGAACTAAGATTTGCGCTTAATCTTTTAGTTGAGGTCAAAGACCTAAGTCGTTAGCTTAATCTTTTGTTTAAGGTCTAGGACCTTAGACAAGAGCTTGATTCTTGATTTCTGATTGGGATCTAAGACTATTGCTTGATTATACTTCTGCTTACTTTGACCAACAGCTGCATTACTACTAGACCTTAAGTAGCTAGCTGTAATACAAAAAAAAAACACCCGATGACCGGCTCGAGTTGAGGCTCTGGTGTCAAGGGTCATCTACCAAATAGACTGGGGTCATGGGTCTAGGATCATATGCGTGATAAATATCCCGCACTTCCATTCCCCCCCCCCCACATAACCCTTAAGTTTACAGTTTTTAAAGCATTTTTGAAGCAAAGATATTTGAAAAAAAAAAGATAAATTATGTCGGGGGAAAATTAAGTATATTATTATATTTATATTTTATCAGCGACGGCGTGGTTGGATGGTAGGGCTAACGACTTCTAGCCCGAAAGTTTCGAGTTCGGATCCCGGGCTCAATTCTCTATGACGTCCCTGAGTCCATCCAGCTCTAATGGGTACCTGATTTAAGTTAGTGAAACCATTGCGGCTTTAAACATTTCTAATAGACGGAGCCAAATGATGGATGTTTTATTTATTGTTATTACAATTTACTGAAAACTGCTAAAATTCAGGAAAAAAATACTTTTTTTAAAATGCAAAATGGTGACGTCACACTGTCAGACCCCCCCCCCCCCCCCCCCCCGCCCCTCAACCTCGACACACCTCGTCAAAAATGTCTACCTTTCCATGACATCCAGTGCCGGCGCCAGGTTATTTAGCGCCCTATGCAAAACTAATTAAAACACCCCCTTTCACACAAATTAATTACTAAAACATGTATAGGAAAACAATTAATTAAAAGTGACATATTAATTTATTGTCAATTGCATACACGTTATAAGAAGACATCAAAATCAAATTTTACTTGCCTCCTTCGTTGCAAAAGTTTGTATTAATTTCTTCAATGCCAATTTGCAAGCGTAACCACATTTTATTGAAACTGTTGCTAAGTGCTGAGTCTACTTTGTAATTTACGAAATAGCTCCCCCCCCCCTTAAAAAAGTTTAAGTGCTCCCCCCCCCCCCTCCCGGGAGAAAAAAGGCTGGTTAAAAAAAACACTTAAAAAGAAAAGTTCTTGTGGTGTTGGGCTCTCTGCAGTCCTCCCAAGGTGTGTTCCAAAACGGAACTTACCTGTTTTTATGACTGTCTTTAGTTATAATTGTAAAATGTCAATATTGTGTGATTATGTAACGATTTTTTGGTTTTAGAAAAATAAAAGGTTATAAATGTTATAGATTCCAGCCTAAAATTGTTATATATAAATCCTTTAGAAGAGGGTGAAAAATATGAAAAGACAATGAATTAGAAGTTTAATTTACGACCAAATCATCCATAAATGACGTCACGCTTTTTTGACGATTTTTACGTCCCCCCTCCCCTCCGTCACACGTCGTCACAAAAAGCCAGACCCCCCCCCCCCCTAAAATGACGTCACACCTCAACCTACAACCCCCCCCCCCCCCCCCCACACACACAAAGTTGCAGTTGAATTTTTTTAAACATCGATATTTTTCCAAAATCTTGTGTAATCTATTACAATTTATTAAAACAGTTATCTAAAACGCGAAATAACGTCTAAAATTCGTTTTCTAACATTGCTTTTTAATAATGCAAAAATGTGACGTCGCAACAGCTGAACCCCCCCCCCCTCCCCCTCATCACACATCGTCACAAAATTACGGACCCCCCTCCCCCCTACGAGTGTGACGTCATTTAAGGATGACCCCTAAGACTGTATGTCTACTAACATAAAGTATTGCAATCTATAACGGCTACTGATGCATTTGTTTTTCAACTTAATAATGTTAAAAAAAACCTACCAAACTATTTTGTTTAGAACTAAAGCTCTATATAATTTTTACAATAGCAAATAATAACTTAAAGTTGTATTTACATGTAAGCGGTCAACCTAAGGTGCAGGAATTTGAAATGAATGTGAAGTTAAGCAACGAATTATCTCCCATTTGAAAAATCCAAATACCAAAATTTTATTCAAGGGAAAAAACTTTCACAAGAATAGCTAAATTAACCAAGTATAACTAAGACATGCTTGAAAAACACAATAAAAAGCTCTAAATTTCATTATTAAATAATTATATTAAAACTTTTATATTAGCTATGTAAACATAGGAAACCAATATATTTTTACATATTGAATACTTAACTGTAGGTTTTGTTTGAAAACATAAAAGCGGTAACTTTATTATAACATACTTCTATTCAATTGCGATGAGATCATTAGTTATTGCATATTTAAAGAGAATTCTTTTACAAAATTTTTGGATCCCCTAAATAAAGGGACACCTTTCAACAATCAAACACGGGTAACTGTGTCAGACATAGAATTATTGATTAAATAAAAAATAACATTATTTGAAAAAAAAAGGTTACGGTTAGTTATAAATTCCATCCTTTTCAATATTATATATTAATACTTTAAGAGTTATAATATAGATTCCTAAAAAGCTAAACATTTTTCAACTAGAAAACGCCTGCCTATCTTTGGAGTGTGTTCCGTACTGATATAAAATCATCTAACTTACTATATACTCGATATACTCTACTACATTTACAACACATGTCAACTTCGATACCTAAACATAAGTAGACTCGATGCTCCAGAATTATGACACCAACTCGCTTAACTTAACCAAGCTCTACAAATGATACTCCAAATCAACAACGATTTCACTGGACCTACTACTACACTTTAACAGTCAATATAATTCGATACCTTAATACCACAATAATCAATACTCACGAACTCCAGAACTACGATATTCATCACCTGCATTCTCATTTCTCTACTACCAATCAAATTCCATTAGACCTTCAACTACAAAACAGCCGAATAAAAATGATGACACTTTAACACTTCGATACTTGATACCTACAAAACCATACCAGCAACAGCCTTCCACCGTTACTCCTAAATCTAAAAGGTTCATCAAAATTAACCAAACAAGTACAATACTTCGACCACCCCGTCATTAGAAAACTCTGCACACCAGGACAGATTTCTAATTCAAATTCAGAGAAAACAAGACTTACAAGCCCTCTTGAAATTAAATAACCGTTTGAAATGTTCGAAATTTAAATTACGAACTTTTTAAATCGTTTCCTACATCCTTTATGTGACACCAATTAAAAAGGCAAAGTGACTGGTAAAAAGCGCGCCAACCTTTTTAAATTAGGGAGGTGGGGTTGCATTTTCACTATCGCGAATAAATATAGGCATATGTAGACCTAATTTTGGGGTGGGGGTACGTCCTGGGTGCCGAAGTAGATCGCTATACTCCTTTATAGAAGTTATAAATTACTAGGTACTTTTTGATAATAACATTTTACGCTCCCCTAGGGATGGCGCTCTAGGCGACCGCCTAGTTCGCCCTGATGACGTCATACATAGACGACATCCAGAGTAATAATGAAATGTACGAAACAGACGACAGCAAATAGGAATTTAAAGGACTATTTAAAACATAATTATAAATAGTTTTAAACATTTTTATATCAGTAAAACCATAACAAGAAAACAGCAACGGAAAAATTTTTAAAAATGTTTTTTGGAAAAAAATAACAACGGGATTTCCCATGATGCGTCGGTTGTGGGCGAATGTTAAAAATAGATTGCAATCTAATAATCTTTTAAAGTTTCACATTAATTTTTTTTTTTTTTTTTTGTTAAAACTAAAATCCTTTTGAACGGGGCTAGTGTTTGTTAAAACCTTACGAGTCAGAAGTATAAATTTAACTCTGTTGGTAACCCTATGAAGTAGGTATAAACCGAACCATGATTTAAACTACTAGAAGTATAAACCCAACCCCAATTCAGACCCATGACGTGACAGTAAAACCCAACCCTGCTTTAAACCCGATGACGTAGGTATCAACCGAACCATGATTTATAACTTCTAGAAGTATAAACCCAACCCAAGTTCAAACCCATGACGTAAAAGTAAAAACCCAACTCTGATTAAAACCGTCTGGAAGAATAAACCCAACCCTGATTGAGACCCCTACAAGTATAAACCCAACCTTGATTGAAACCCTTAAAAGTATAAACCCAAATATGATTAAAACCGTCTGTAAGAATAAACCCAAACCTGATTGAACCCCACGGTTGAAACCCATTATTTAGCTAAACCTACCCCCAAAAAACTAGTTGAAAGACCAAAGTTTTTTTGGTCAATACGTCACAGAATTTTATGGCTTTCTCTCTCCAGCGGCCGGACTTGACTGGTCTCTGGTTAAACGAACTCGAGTCCGAGCGGTCAGCAGTCTACATCTGACTTGAGGAATCAATGGCGCGGTGTTTGATGGGGGTCCAGTTTAGCTAAGGTATCCGCCGTCGTCTGGTCGGCATTGATTCAATTAATTTCGTCTCATTCTGTTTTAGGTTCAAATCAGACTCCCTAAATCGGGCGTGGATTGGGCATCAAAGTAATTGGTGAACTTAATGAGAACTTTCTGGTGATTTCAAATTTCCACAAATTATATTTCATTATCCGTTGACGTAGTTTGACTAAGGGCTATAAATAGAGTGGTGCCGTACTTACCGTAGGGCTTCCGGTTCAGCGTTTCTTTCAGACATCTTGCTCCGTGGGGCGGGGGGGGGGGGGGGGCTCTTGAAAGTTTGGGGGTGGGGGGGCTGTCTAAATTTTCCGGGGGAATTGGGGACAGACACTGGTAAGTTTTCCTACACTGTAAATGTACCTTTTGTCTTACGTCGCCTAGGTACACCCTTAGTTTTGGGTAATGTCTACATTTAGTTTTTTGTGCGTATTTATCCTCGGAATAAATACAATATTTACTAAAGAATGATAAATATTCATGAGTTATAACATTCTTCTAAAGCTAGAATTTATATTTTAATTTCTAAAAATAAATAATTTTAATGCAAAATTCATCATCTTCTTCTTCGTTCTTAATAGTGTTATACTTAAGAGAATTTCCCCCGATATAATTAAGTATTAGTGTCAACATGTTATGCGCCATAAGGCCCGTTGACTCAGATATCAACATGCTGTTCTTTCTAGATTTGCTTCCAAAGCCTTCGTTCAACCAAGAACAATTCGCTTAAGATCAGCTGCTTGAGTATGGAGTTCTCTCTGCTGGATGGGATGCTGTCTCAGCCAACGAACTTAATTAACTCGGGGTTCGAACTCGTGACTTTAAGAATAAGGAATCATTCCCTCCCCAGCCCGACCATGCCGTTCTCCAAAATTCACCAAATTATTACATAACTGTACAATGTGTATTAGGCACTCATATTTTTTTTTGTAAACCCCAGAAACAGCCAACCAACAATAGACGAACTGAGAAGTAGCGAGGAAGACTTGCAGTTGTATCATTTATACGCATACGAACACCCATGTACCCCCCCCATATATATATATATATATATATATATATATATATATATATATATATATATATATATATATATATATATATATATATATTATAGTTTATTTATTGATAAAATTATATATATATATATATATATATATATATATATATATATATATATATATATATATATATATATATATATAATTTTATCAATAAATAAACTATAATATATATATATATATATATATATATAATTTTATCAATAAATAAACTATAATATATATATATATATATATATATATATATATATATATATATATATATATATATATATAATTTTATCAATAAATAAACTATAATATATATATATATATATATATATATATATATATATATATATATATATATATATATATTTACTCCACGAACTGCTTATAAGAAAATGAACATGTCTTCCATTGTATAGTATGAATTCCATGTCTGATGTTAAGGCCTACAGTGCAGTAAAATAAACACAGCAAAAATAAACAGCAACACCCCACAACAGGGCTTATAGACCCACGGCTGGTTAACGTAAAACCTCACAAACGTTTGTCTTGGCCCGTCTTTTACAGCCTCCATTTTGTTGCCGCCCACTTTGTTAACCCCCCACTTTGTTGCCTTCTAATTTACATTTTCTCAAGCCGGAAGTCATCTTAGCGCCTTGATGTCTGGGGTGATATCATCCGGATGTTGCTGAGGCGATACAATCTAGATGTTGTTGTGGTGATATCATCACCATGTTGTGCTTGCTCGGCAATACCAAACGCCGTAACTTCCGCCGCGTAAAGTTTTCTACCCCCCCTCCCCCCCCCCCCAAACTCAGTCGTTACGTCACTGTATTTAAATTCTAGACTTAAACCGGCGATGATGTAAACATCCACATGGGCACGGGGCAATCAATGTTGATCGAACTTGGGGGGGAGGGGGGGTATAGGGTGGGATGGGGGGGGGGGGGCGTCACCGCAGCCATAAAGACGTCTCCTATCCTCCTCGTCACAAGATCTCACCGAATGATCTCGCTCAGAGTTTCTTCCAGGCATCTCTTAGGGGGGGCGAAGCCCCCCCCCCCCCCCCCGAAAATTTTTTACCGCCCCCCCCCCCCCCCCCCCCGAACGAAATGAAATTTATATAATTTATATAGAAAATATATACTTTTAACAGTGTCCGCCCCCCCCCCCCCCCGAAGAAAGTTTACCGCCCCCCCCCGAAGATTTCAAGTACCCCCCCGGAGAAAAAAGTCTGGAAGAAACACTGATCTCGCTGATCACACGCGGCTGTTGGCTTACGTTTTTATTTTGTTTCTGGCATTGTATTTCGAGTTTTTTATTTTCCTCACAAAAAAAAAAGTAAATTACCCGTTTTGGGGATCGTGTATTCCTTGCAATTAGAGATAAAATTCGTTTTTTTTAATGGGCTGAATTTTGAAGTGGTCAGCACAATGTCCAGCAGACTTTAGCTAACATCCTAATGCTGGGTACTTGAGTAAGCTAAAAAAAAAATGACGGAAGTAACTAAGTCATAATCTCTTACGTGAAAATATTTCAGTAATCTGAATGGAGTTGAAGTTTTCTTTAAGAAGGAATTTAAAAACAAAAAAAATCTCTAATGTAAAATTTTATAATAGAAAAAAAATGCATAACAACAAGGCAATTGGCTGCTGATCTAAGCAAACCAACAATTGTAATTTATTAATTAAACAAAAGCAAAGAAATAACAATATACTAAATTAACAAATACCTAGCAATGAAAGCAAACAACTGGCAAGTTAACACAGCAAATACATTTGAAGTTAACAAAACAATAAGTTAACAAAACAATACTTTAACAAAACAATAAGTTTACAAAACACTGAGTTAACAAAACGATAAGTTAACAAAACAATAAGTTAACAAAACAATAAGTTAACAAAACAATAAGTTAACAAAACAATAAGTTAACAAAACAATAAGTTAACAAAACAATAAGTTTGGGAGATGTTGGCTGTGGACCATGCATTATCTCATGTTTGAAAATTAAGGGACAAAATCACACAACCGATTTACTCGGTGTCTGAAAATAGAAACACATTTCCTTTATATTAAGATTAGTTGATACATTTAGTAATCCTTGCAAATATTCATTATCTAAATGTTCACGTTTCGAATATTTCTGGATGCCTAACAACGGAGACAACGTTCAGTAGTCAGGATTCAACTTCTCATCCATCTAATGCACGGGTTCCCAACCTGGGGGTCGCGACCCCTTGGGGGTCGCGAAGGTCTTTCTAGGGGGTCGCCAACTGGCATACTAAACCTTAGTAATTAGAAACAAAACATAAATATTTAGAAGAATTTTCTAAATTCGGCTTCATTAACATCACTTGAAATGTAATAGAGAAGAAACAAAGCGCACTGTACAAAGTTGTTCTCAGTCACGAATCTATGAAATCTTCAAAACTAAAACGTCATTTAGACGAGTCATTCGGAACACACCAAAAAAAGATATGGAGTTCTTTCGTCGGTAAGAAGCTAGTTGCGATAGAAAATGCCAATAAAAAAACAATAGGAGAAAATCTCATCAAACGCTGCATGTACGTAGATCTAAATGTTAAATAACACCTTTTTATTGAAATTAAGCTTTCACCATTGTTTGCTTTTCAAGTTGATAAATCAACAGACGTGAGTTCGTGTTCGCAGTTGCTGGTCTTTGTCTATATTCATTCAGATGATAGCAAAGAAGAGTTGCTCTTTTGTGAAGATAGCATGTAGAAAATAAATACGTTTTTTTTAAACTGGATGATTAAAATGGGTTAAAACTGCTGTGGGGGTTTATACGGATGGTGCGCCATCTATGCTTAGGTCAAAATCGGGCTTTCAGGAAACAGAAAAGATTTAGCTCCCTAACCACTGCCCTAACCAATCGACATCAAGAGTCCATTGCTAGTATAAGTCGTAAATTATATAAAATCTGGAGCCTTCAAAGAACAAAGCAAAGACATGAATAAAGATCACGAGGTTCTGCTCTTCTACACTACAGTACGCTGGCTGTCAGACGAAATGTTGTAAATTGTGTTTTTGAATTGAAATCTGAAATCAAATTGTTCTTGGAAGTGCAAAGGAAACAAGCCTTTTTGGTATACTTAAAACGACATAGAGTGGTTGGAGAGATTATCATACCTAGTAAATGTGTTCGAACTTCAAGATAAGCTTAACCTGAAGCTTCAGGGAAAATGAACGAATATTATAACTTTCCATGATAATCTCGGGGCATTTTTATCAAAGCTGCAAAATCGGTAAAGAAAATAAATCTTGGAAATATTGTAAATTTGTGAAACTGCGGTGTGGTAGATGAATCTGATTGTGAGATAATTAAAATTTTGAAAGAAGCGATTTCTGGGCATCTTGAATCTCTTGAAAACGAACTGCATCGCTATTTCTCTGAGCTGAAAAAAGTAGAATCTGCATTGATGCATTACCCATTCTTTTCTTCCCTTGATGTTGCCAGCATTCCCGATGAATTACAAGATGAATTCTTTGATTTGCAGAATGATTCCGAGTAAGATGAAAAACTGCAGAGACAATTTTGGTGTAGTATTCACCATTCATACCCAAACGTAAAATTGATTGACTTTGCGAGAATATATTTTCAACACTATTTTTCGATTAAAAACAAAATTAAGATAATTATAATGACATAGGTTGGCGTAAACAAAAAAAAATTAAATTAAAAATTTAACCACGAAGGTTTAGTGAATAGTATGCAATTTTACTCATGCTATTAAAACAGTTATCAAGAGTAGTTCATATTGAAAGTCTACTAGAAAATCTTATTTTAGTGCATATTAATTTCCATACTAATTTCGGCTTTTTAATTCTATGGGGGTCGCGGGTCACTTACTTTTTATAAAAGGGGGTCGCCACTCGAAAAAGGTTGGGAACCACTGATCTAATGCAAGGGTCGGCAACCTGCGGCTCGCGAGCCGTATGCGGCTCTTTGGATGTCAAGTTGGATGTCAGCTACTTGCAAAAATATTATTATAGGTATATGATTTCAATTTTACTGGACGGTGGGGTACAAGTTTACCCTGCGTTCAGTGGGGTGGAAGATAAACCTGGTGAGAACCGAATGACAGAAGCGACCGATAAACGGTAATCAAAACCGGTATCTAAGCTAGTTAGTCGAAGCTTGCCGTGTTGAGGCCTGCCTGGCTAAAGTGAG